CTTACACAAGTGCAGCAACAGCTTTGCCAGCAAGCAACCTCACAGAATTCGACAGCGTTTCTGGCAATTCGCACTCAATGTAGTTCTGAAATGAATGTTCATATTAGTAAGCATAACAATGCGAATACCCTCGGCGCACTACGTCCTATTCGGAACCAACACACTTTCTACTTATAAATGCTTATTTTTTACTATAAAAACACTTTGAAAAAAAAAATTTCTTAGAATTTAACACCGCATAAAAAATTTTGGAGTAAATACAGTATACGTTGTCAAGAAAGTGTTACCAAAGCACTAACCCGTATATGGTTAAGCAGTTCACTACGAGCTTCTAAGTGGTATTCGGTTATGAGATGCTTCGGATGCACACTCACTGCGATTAGATATATTGTTTCCAGCAATGCTTCTCGAACCACGGTTTCCTGCTAAAATGTAACTAGCTGTAGAAAACGGTCAAAATACAGAATATCTTCAATGCCCAAATGAAAAACTTTCTGTGCCACTGCATTCCTACGAAATCGTGGAATTCATCACAAAACGAAGTAAACAGCAACATACTATGAGTCAGGCACGAACTTGTGTTTATTATACAACTTATCAAAAGATGCCTGTTGGTGGTCTGGGACTACAAACTGCAAAACTGCAAAACGTAAAGAAGAAGAAAAGCCGTTAATTTTCATATAAGAGGCAAAAACAAGACAAAGAAGTCAATTTTAAGTTTCTGGATTGAAACACGCTTGGAGCTATGCTCTCAAAGCTTAACCTCACTACCTTGAGTTCTTAGATTTGCGCAGAGGCAAAAAAAAAGCATCACAAAATGTTCAAGTTACCCTTGGATTTTCCATATAGCGCCGCAAGAAAACAAGCACAGTTTGCTCGAGCCTTTGTGTCACGACGTCTGTCGGGCAATAATACACCACGTAACCTACAAAGGACCTTTTGACAAAAATGGCTTCGTTTTACAAATAAACTGTTTTGAAATACACCACATGAGACAGAAGTAGTTACCATAACTGAGCATAATTGTTGCACGTAGACTGACCATTTCCTGATCAGTATATTGCTTATATGGCATAGCATCCTGAAACAAAAAGTCAGGCTTGAAAATGAAGATAATAAATTTTAAAAGAGGAAGAATTTAGTTTTCTTTGTCTGGGAAAATCCAGCACCGGCACATCAGGCAACTAGCTCAGCAAGCGAGTTTTATGGCCAACAAATCACCCACTGGTACTCCCGCTCAAGCTGCCAATGCCGCACTGCTAAAGCAATAATCTACAGACAGGAAGCTGTTCTGCACCATATTGACCATCAAATTGCCGCTAAATAGAAAACATGAAAAATCAAGACTAGCCTTGATGAAACCGAACAATCCGGAACTTTTTTTCAAATTTTCCCACTTTGCGATATTTTCCAGTTCAGTGAGAACCAAGTCGGTATGAGTGCTGGCACAAAAGCCAATGGCCTGAGCACAACCGGTGCGTTCAGCCTGTTGCGCATGCGAAGTGCAACGGAATAGCAGCACAAGATGGTCCACAACGAAACTTGTGTTTGTTGTCAGTGATAACGCACCGCCGAGACATCGCATCAAAAACGCCTAAAAGCAAAGCGGTGGACTTTCTGAGCTGGAAGATCTCTTGCAGATAAGACCATCAGAATGCGCTTATGCGTGTACGTTCTACTGCATAATATATATACGTTGAAACGCACACAAACGTACACACCACGCACATACATATACATGGACATGCAAACGGATACACACACATACATATGTCTGTGCGCATCGGTACACGCATATAGGCAGAGATAAAGGAATTCGGACTTTATCCTATCGTCACTGGTTTTAAACAATTAGTAAGAACAAGCCAAAACAGGCATTCTACATACGGCCGACTAATCAAGTTTATTGTACACGCTATAATGTGCATTTATGCAGCATATCAGGACTAAACAACCTTGCAGAGCTGCACTGGATGTGTGGGCTGCTCATAAACAAAATTAAACAAAAATTGGCACTTTATTTCATAGAAAAAAGTTCTAAAAAACAATAAAACATCTGCACAGTCGCCCGATATGCTGCATATATCCAGTCTTCCGAGAAAAATGAACAAATTTAGTAGGTAACCTTATCGTCGGGCGCATCGCCATATAAATTTAACTGTTTTCCCATTGCAGCGGCAAGCGCACATCGCCACTCACCATCATTAACATTTTCCACACAAATGTGCAACAGGTCGAGTACGTGCGCATGCCAGCGTGCGACACGCGCCAGACGAAGCTCTCCGATGCCATTGCTGCAGCCACTACTCACCAGTCCTGGAGGTGAGAGGTCTGAAATTCGTAAAAATGTTATAAAATCGCTCTAACTACTGTCGTAAAACTCTCAATAATATCGCTTCGCTTCTTTGCGTACCGACCAGGAAGATATTATCACTGCTGGTACGTGGAAGAATTCAC